CTCGGCTGCTGGGCGGCTCGGCGGCTGGGCGGCTTGGCTGCTGGGCGGCTCGGCGGGGCCGCTGAGAGGGCGGCGTCCGGGGCCGCTGGGAGGAGGCGGCGGGGCCGCAAAGGTAGGTGGCGGGGCCGCACAGGTAGGTGGCGGGGCCGCGGAGGTAGGTGGCGGGGCCGCACAGTGAGGTGGCGGGGCCGCGAAGGTAGGTGGCGGGGCCGCACAGGTAGGTGGCGGGGCCGCGGAGGTAGGTGGCGGGGCCGCACAGTGAGGTGGCGGGGCCGCGAAGGTAGGTGGCGGGGCCGCACAGGTAGGTGGCGGGGCCGCGGAGGTAGGTGGCGGGGCCGCACAGTGAGGTGGCGGGGCCGCGAAGGTAGGTGGCGGGGCCACACAGGTAGGTGGCGGGGCCGCACAGGTAGGTGGCGGGGCCGCGGAGGTAGGTGGCGGGGCCGCGGAGGTAGGTGGCGGGGCCGCACAGTGAGGTGGCGGGGCCGCGAAGGTAGGTGGCGGGGCCGCGGAGGTAGGTGGCGATGGGCGCGACGGGCGCGACGGGCGCGACGGGCGCGACGGGCGCGACGGGCGCAACGGGCGCGACGGGCCGAAAGGGCGGCGCGACTCGGGCCGGCCCAAAACGCGCTCCGGGCAGGAAAAAAATATTTCGTGGTGGTGGGCCCTAGGAATCGTTCCCACTAGGGAACCTGCTCGATACCATGAGGAGAAACGAGGAATGAAATGACTAAGTGAAAGTTGGGTACAAGAAGCAAACCCTAGAAAACTGTACCCCATATGTGCTACCCCACTATAGCCTACAGTAGCTATGTCATATAAATCTGACAGGCACCATCGACAAATTTAAGGCGCGCTGGGTCGTACGCGGTTTCGACCAAGAGCACGGACGCGACTTCACCGAAACATTCGCTCCGGTCAGCCGCCACACCTCACTACGCATTCTCCTCGCAATCGCCGCCATGAAGAAGAAGAAGCTGCGGCAAATCGACGTCGCGAACGCGTTTCTCTACGCACCCGTTGACACAGAAATTTTCGTGGAACTACCGCACGGTACCAACGGGGAGCCGAACCAGGTCTGTCAACTGCTGAAGTCGCTCTACGGGATTAAGCAAGCTCCGCGGCTATGGCAGCAGTATCTGCACGCCCGCCTCATCCGCATCGGCTTCAAGCAATTACCTCACGATCAGGGGATGTACCGACTCACGAAAGGCGCAGACTACATCCTGCTAATCGTCTACGTAGACGATCTCCTCTACATCGGCTCAACTGACGGCATCACTACCTGGTTCGAAGGGGAGCTGCAGCAAGATCTCACGCTCACGGTCTCATCTACCGTCACTCAGTACCTCGGGCTCAACATCCGGGAAGAGGAAGATGCGATCTACCTCAGCGCCGTGAAATACGCCGACACCATCGCCATGCGCTTCATACTTACACCAACCGCCATCTCTACACCGTACCGCTACACGTCAGGCAACAACAAGGAAGGCCCCGTTCTACTCAAGCCCGCCGGCATACGCGACTATCAGAGAAAGCTGGGCTGCCTTCTCTTCGCAGCTGTTACCTGCCGACCAGACCTATCATACTCTGCAAGCCAACTCGCAACCTATCTCAAGAGGCCCGAAGCGGAACACCTAGCGGAACTCGACCGCGCTCTTCACTACCTCGTTAGCACCCCAACGATCGGCCTAACCTACCACAAGAACGCAACCACACCGACTAAGTTAATCGGCTACGTCGACGCCGATCACGCTGGCGACTCCGACAACAGGCGTTCGCGCACCGGCTACGTCTACCGCCTCGAACCTATCGGACCTATCTCTTGGCAGTCGAGCAAGCAGGAATTAATCGCTCTCTCGTCAGCTGAAGCAGAATATATTGCACTCTGCTCAGCCACCAAGGAAGGACTTTACCTTCGCGAGCTGCTGGAAGAAGCGAAGTTAGCTGAGTTACCCAACTTCACCCTGTTCTGCGACAACCAGTCGGCAATTCGCATCGCCAACAAGAACGGCTTCGCGAACAGATCGAAACACATTGCCCTACGCTACTTCTTCGTGAAGGACGAAATCGAGAAGGGGAGACTCGAACTGTCATACTGCCCCACGACCGAGATGGCAGCTGACTACTTGACCAAGAAGCTCGGAAAGCAGAAGTTTGAGTACTGCATGCTGCTGACTGGACAGAGCCACGTCACCAGCAGCGACACTCCAGAAGCGAAGGGGAGTGTTGGAAACAATCAGTCTTAAGCGCCTCTGTCGTGTCGAAACACCAAGACACAAGCGAATCAAAGCATATCGAGGCACCAGCGAGTCAACCCTCGGAGGTTGAAGTAACCGCTGGAGGTTACGCGAAAGTCAAAGGTCAGCGACCTTTGACCTGACAAGTACAGCGCGACAGCAAGGACACACAACTGACTCGCTACAGAGCAGTTGCCCGAGTCGTCACTGTATCGAACCGCAACAGCAACAGTAAAGTAGTTACAACCCTGTCTCTTCGTATCCCTTGTACTCTTATATAAGCTTGTATCTCTTTGCTTTAATCAATCTACTTTGCCCTCACATACTAGCGCAAGGTGGTTCACAACTCTTTAATTAACGCTTCCGCTATTACAACAACTCTACCCAGAGTTCACCCCTGCAAAGATCCTAAGGGCTTTTTCAGCCCAACAAGTTCACCGTGATAATTTTTCGTCGACTTTGTACCAGTAAGGGTATTTCTTTTTTTGATGTTTCAAAAGCTTCGAACTGTACCTGCGCGATTATTTTTCAGCCATTATATATTGCTTTATTAGAATATATATGTTGTAACTTCGTTGCAGCAAGTTTTGAAAGTATACAGACGGACTTCCGAGGGATGGCATAGCGAACGACCTAGGCGAAAATCGAGGGCAAAAACTGCCTCGGAAGTATGACGAAGGTTATGAGGACGTCTCGAGAGAGGTTTGGGGCCGACAAGTCAGTCCGAACCAGCCCTGGAGAATTCCATAAACCAGCCGAAACGCGCGCGAAGTCGATTTACCGAAGTAAACCGAGCTGAGATTCGAACCCACTTTTTTCGGCACCTTCAAGCGTCGGCAGCGCGCTCAGCGTGTGCCCTCCTGTCACCTCGACTCCCTCTCCGACGACCCCGAGGCTTCTTTCGCTGCCTCTCCTCCACTCACCGCTCACAAGACTCACAGCTGCTACTACAAATCAGCCTCATTCCTGTCATCACATAAGTTTCCAGCTTCGCTTTCTGTTCTTACTACAGTAATAGCTCTCAACCTTACGGCCCCGTTTCCTATCCGTCAGCATGGCCTCAGTTTCCGGCTCGGAGTATCCCTCGTATTGTGCGGCGCTGAGCTTCTGGAAGAGTCTCGGCGGGGAGAACTCGAGGGCATCACGGCGCGTACAGCCGCTCAGCGAGTCGTCCAGCGGCGGATCGAACGACACTCGCCGTTGTTCCGCCGTGACGGCCCGCTGCAGCGCCTCTGACGCGAGCATCTGCTGCGACAGCACCAAGAATGGTGATGCTCGCCATGACGCCGCCTCTGGCTGCAACGAAGCGTGCTCTCTCGACCACGCAGCAGCACCGCAAATGCTTCCAGCGCTTCCACCCGTGACGTCGGATCAAGCGACGACGCAATATCCGGTTTCGGGAAATGTAAGGTTAGATGGAGTGATAGTTAAAGCGCGCGATTGTGAAGAATCGGAAATTGCTGCAGCGTCGGATTCCGCAGCACCGCAACCTGCAGCATCAGGATTTGCTGAGTCGGACTCTGCAGCTTCAGAATCTCCCGCATCGGAACCTGCAGCATCGGCGGAATCTGCAGCATCGGCGGAATCTGCAGCATTGGCGGAATCTGCAGCATCGGTGGAATCTGCAGCATTGGCGGAATCTGCAGCATCGGCGGAAAATGCAGCTTCGGCGCATTCTGCAGCGACCGAACCTGCAGCATCAGTGAATCCCGCAGCGGACTTCCCAGCGTCAACGGCGTCAGCTGGTTGCAGCAAGGTAGCACATAGTGCACCGCCGACGCGCATCCCGAAACCTAGCAGCGGCAAGGGACTGAATGTGAGGCGGGTGGAGGGAGCGACACTGATTCCAAAGCCTAGGTGTGCTGCAGCGCACAGGGAGGTGCGGGCAGTACAAGTGGAAGGTGCACGCAAGCGGCCCAGCACAACGTCCAAGTCCGTGCTCGCTCCCTCCAGACGCCCATGGCGGCCTTGACTGCTGCAGCGAGAAAAAAGAAGAATGGTAAAAAACAGACGCACAAAAGAGCCGATTGATCAAGCATGGCAATAAAAAAGGGGAAGAACAACAATAAAAAGTTAGGGGAATGCAGGGGTGGGATGACGGCGGCTGATGACAGAGAAGCACAGCAGCAAAGAGCAAGTGGTGGGTTGCAGGGCGTTTTGGGGATGAGGGTGTGGGGAGCATTGTGGGGCGCTACCCTTTTTTGCAGCCTGCTTCACAGCAGGGTGTTTGTGGGAGTGTGGGTTTGCTGACCTTGGTGGAGGGTGGATGGAATGGAAGGCTAAAGAAACTGCTGCTCTGCTGATGTGCTCCTCATGGGATGGCTCAGCACTGATGCGCTCCTGAAGGGATGGCTCAACACTGATGCGCTCCTGAAGGGATGGCTCAGCACTGATGCGCTCCTGAAGGGATGGCTCAGCACTGATGCGCTCCTGAAGGGATGGCTCAACACTGATGTGCTCCTGAAGGGATGGCTCAACACTGATGCGCTCCTGAAGGGATGGCTTAGGAGGATTGATGTGTTCCTGATGGGATAGCTCAGGAGTCAGGTCCAGGGTAGCCAATAGCTAGTAGTAGTTGCTGTGGAATCTTGTATAGTGCACTAATGTAATGCTAGCATTGGCTATGAATATATTTCAATTGACATTTGGGTATGAATGCAGGCACCAACCTTGGCCTAGTAAAGGGACGCCTACGATGAGTGAACGTTGTAAGTGTCCATTCCTATTTCACACATGAAGAGGCGGGACGCCTCGCAGTGGTTTTCACATGAGTGAGCAGTCGGCAGGGAGGTCCCCTCCTTGCAGCATGTCAGGCAGCCTGCACCACACCACACCCACGACCAGCACGAGGGAGGGCCTTTTGATCCACACCGGATGCACAGTGGGATGCGATGCCATGCGCTGATAACAGATAAGCTGGCTATGCTCTTCTTTCAGAGCAGCCAAAATGAGGGAAGACTGTTCCAGAGTGTGCTGTGAACTGAACCATGAGGGAGTGACCCCCGAGATTAAAGCACCACAAGGGCAGTCAGACAGAAGCAAAGCGGCAAGGATGGAGTGCGGAAACGTGAAAGAGGAGAGAGGAGCAAGTGGAACAGCGAGTGAGAGCAGAGAAGCTAGCAGCGCACTCACACAGGCAGGCCATCTTCCCCCATCTCCAGCCCGGGAGCGATCTCCTTGATCATCTCTGGGGGCGGCTGCCCGCACGCCTGCATCTCCCCCATCACCGCCATGATGGCCTCGAAGTCGCCCGGCCTCTCCTCGTACAGCGCGCACAGCCGCCCGATGGCGCGCTGCTGCCGCTCGTACCGCGCCAGGTCATCGGGCGGCAGAGTGGCGGCGTTGGCGGCGAGCCAGGCGGGGTAGCGCGCGTGGAGGTCCCTCATTGGGCCGTGCAGCACGTCCTTTGAGAGCAGCTGCTGCATCACCGCGTCCATCAGCCCCGCCATGTCCTGCACAGAGGGGGGGCGCAGCGAGGGTGGCAGAGACGAAGAGGGGCTGAAGCAATGACTCATGAGATGGTTCATCAGCCCTGTGTGAGCAGCTGCTGCATCACCGCGTCTGCATGTTTTGCTGTGGGGGAAGGGGAGGAGAGGAAGAGGACACTGAGGAGGAGGAGAGGACGGAGGGAAGCTTGCAGCAAAAATGCGACAGCAGCTGAGTGCCCGCACCACGCACCTGGGTGTCAGGTCTCACCTGGGTGCCCATGTCCTCAAACTGCTTCACCAGTCGCTCCACCACCGCCTCATCCAACTCCTCCCCCTCCCCTCCCAACCCTTCTAGCCCCCCCAGCCCCCCCAGCCCGCCCAGCCCTGGCAAGCCCGCCCCCAGCCCTGCAGGCACTCCCCCCCGTGCTCCTGCCCTCCCCCGTGCCGCATCGTCCCCCTCCCCGATGCCACTGACGGTGCGCTGTGTCTGCTGCTGCAGCTGCTCCAACGTCGATGATATCCCCCCGCTGCCGCCACCGCCGCCGTCGCTGCTGCTGCCCCCACTCCCACTCGCACCCCCGCCACCACCACCACTGCCACTTGTCTTACCACCGCCGCCAGCAGCAGCGGCCTTGGCCTTGCCCGTGCCCGTGCCTGCGACGCCGCTTCTCTTCTTCCTCACTGGCAGCGACGGCAGGCCCCCTCCCAGCCCCAGCCCCACCGGAGCTGCTGCCCCTGCTGCAGGCGCTGCTGCACCTGCGCCTGTGCCTGGCGCTGCGGGGCCTGACCCCGCGTGTGCCTGCTCGCGGGCGAGCCCTGCTGCTGCGGACGCGCCGAGGGCGAGTGGCGCGGCAGGTGACGCGGCAGCTGGCAGTGGGGGCGTTGGTGTGTGGGAAGCGGGACCAGCGGCGCTGGTGGTGCTGGTGGCGGCAGCAGTGGCGGCGGGCGCAGGTGCTGGTGGGTCTTGGCGGAAGTCCTCCAATGCACCTGGTCACAGGCCATGCGCGCACGGGCGCGCGATAGGCGGGGAGGAGGTTGGGAAGGGGCGAAGGGGAGGAGGAGGGGAGGAGGAGCGGAGGGGAAAGGGGGGAAGTGGGGAACAGAGGAGGGGAAGTGGGGAACAGAGGAGGGGTAAAGAGCGGAGGAGGGGAGCGGGGGGAGTGGGGGTGGGAAGGAGGGAGGGAGGGAGGGAGGGAGGGAGGGAGGGAGGGAGGGAGGGAGGGAGGGAGGGAAGGAGGGAGGGAGGAACACACGCGGGTGAGAAATAGAGGAGAAACGGCGCTACGAGGAGGGGAGGGTAGGAGGAAGGGGGTCGGAAGTGGAGAGAAATGACGAGGCGACGGCGATGGCGGGGGGGCTGAATGCATCGTGGTCGCTCTTTGAGGCGCCCCAAACGGGGGCGTGCACGACACGTTCATCCGTGCGCTCGTGCCCATGCATGCCCACACGAGTCCGAACGAGCCTTGCATGCATGAATGAATGGATCCCCGCGGACTGCACGTTCTTAGCGGACTCGGGGCACATGGCTTCCTAATCGTAACTGATCGGCATGCTGTCGAGGCTGACAAACGGATCCAACATATTACCGAGATTGCTAATAACGCGTTTAACGTACTATCGAGAAGATCGTCCAAGTCGTCAACCGACGAGTCCATGCGGCTCCAACGAGGCGACTCGCGGTGACACGCAGACGCAGCGCAGACCGAACGGCGGTGAACGGCGTCGGCTTTAAGTCGACGCGAAGACCAACGCGCGGAGGTCGGCCGAGCGGAAAAGCGAGAACAAGGAGTCGACTGGTTTCGCGTAGGGCTTCTCTAAGCGAGGTACCTCCGTCTCCACTCAAGCTTATTCAACTCCTTGTGTTGGGCGTTGGTTTGGGAAAACCACCGTCTGAGACGGTAATCGCGGTGTGCTGACAAGCGTTGCTCGAGGGTGGATAGCGGGCACAGGGTGGCTCGTAGTTTGTTCAAGGAAGCAAAACTTGGCAAAAATGACGAACGGCACCGAGCGTTCGCAAAGAGGGCGACCTACCTCTGGTGCTGCGAAGTTCGTGGGACTGACGCGAGTGCAGCTCACAGCCCAGAATCAGGTAACCGTACCGTGCCTCCCAAACCTCTTCGCCCTATGGCGAACTTTTATGTCGTACGAGACGTTACAAGTTTTTACACTTGGACCTCGTTTCTCTTTCACCACGACTCGTGTTTTCACACATTCCCAGCAGCTTCCATGAGTTTATTGCGCTGTCACTCCGAGTCCCGATGTGAAGCTGTGGAACCTGTGGACACAATGTGTCCCGAGAGAGAGTCGGTACATAGGAATTTCTTAGTCCGTTTGAAGTAGTTTCGAAGTACAGTCAGAGGTCTTTTTTGGGAAGTCCAGCCAGCGAGCCGCAAGAAGCAAGCACGCTTCTCTGGATCAATCCACGCACGACCGTAGCGACGCCGCTGACAGTCGGCTCGTCTGTTGGCTCCCGTAGCTCCGCACCGAGTCAGTACTAACTCCGAGTTACTCCCTCCCTCTCCCCGCTCTCGAACTATCATCACGCGCCGCGTCAATTTGTCGAGAAGGCTCCTCTTAGGCGCCCAATTCATCGTCAAACTTCAGCATACCGCCAGACCTTGACAGCCCGCCAGGCGCGAAACGGCCGTCCCGCCGGCAAACGGTCGCCCTTGTCGAGATGACCTTCGCTGCCGCTACGTGTGGCGAGGACGAGACTGGAGAGTGAAAGAAGGGTCCTCGCACCGCACTGCACCGCACCGACGGCACCGTATCCCTACATACCTGCGACCTGCATGGCGAGGAGCAGCAGCGGTGCTGAGATGAAGGAGGGCGGGGCGACAGCAGCAGGAGCGGCGGGAGCGGCAGGATCGGAGGGATCTCCCTCCCTCTCCCTCCCCCTCCCTCCCTCTCCCTCCCTCTCTCTCCCGCTCCCTCTACCTCCTTCCCTCTCCTTCTCCCTTCTGGAGTTAGCCCTTGCTCTGGGCCGGCCTGAGGCTGTTTCGATCATCGACTTTGCGCTGGGCTGTCTGATGGGCTCTTTTCATTCCTACCCTCTCCCGTGCAAAGGTAATTGGTTGTAGACGCTTGTTGCCTTCTTCATGCGCCCATCAGCACAACAGCCCACTGAGCGAGCGAGTGAGAGCGAACATGGTCCGCCATCTCCCAGCTCCGCACGCCCCTGCCAGGCTGCCCCATGCATGCAGGTACCGCCACCTGTGGAGGGAGCCTGCAGGCGCTGCTGTGTGTGGTGCTGCTGGCCTTCCAATCGACTCACAGCAACTCATTCTCTGCGCTCGCTCCCCCACGTCCTCGTCCCTTCCCATCCCCATGCATGCAGGTACCGCCACCTGTGGAACATGCGAGTGCTGCTGCGGCCGGTGCTGCTGGGAGCCATCCTCCGCGCCACTGGCAACGCCATGCCCTCTGCTGTGCCCGCTAGAGGTCAGTCACAGGCAGAGGTGCGTGACAGGCAGGGATGAGTGGTGGGCAGAGTTCAGTGGTGCTGCTCTCTTAATCCAGAGATGCTGTTTTGCCCGCCACTGTGGGCCAGCTAACACTTCCTCCCTACCTCCACCCCCCACTTTCATCTCCCTCTCCCATCCCTTCCTTCCTCCCCACCAGGAGCATGGTTACAGCAAGACATAGCTCGTACAGCAGCCTCCTTTGCCCGCCTGCCTGCCTGCCTGCCTCCTCAATCCTCATACTGCCCCCCCCCCCCCTCTTCCCCTCCCCCACACCAGGAGCGTGGTTACAGCAAGACATAGCGCGCACAGCAGCGTTCGCCCAGCTGCCGCGCATCTCCGTCCCACCGGGCTTCGGCTCGCCGCGCTTCTCCACGCTGCGCTGCCAGCGCCTGCTCACCGCCCTCGCCCTGCACCAGGTGCCCCTTCCTGCACCTCGCCCTGCACCAGGTGCCCTGTCAATCCTTTTCGCGCCTTCCCCTGCCAGCCGCCTGCTCACTGCCCTCGCCCTGCAATAGGTGCCCCTGTCGCTTTCTGCTCGCCTCCCTTTGCAACTCGCCCTGCTTGCTTGCTCCCTCTCGCCTGCCGTTTCTCTCCCGCTTCCACTCGGCCACTCTCTCCCAGGCACGGCCACTCTCTCCCAGGCACGGTCACTCTCTCCCAGGCACGGCCACTCTCTCCCAGGCACGGCCACTCTCTCCCAGGCACGGGCCCCCGTGTGTCCCCGCCACGCAGTGCAAGGCCGGGGCCTTTCCCAGCTGTGTCTGCACGCCATTCCGTGCGATAGAACTGGGTCTGCTGTGACGAATCTCAAAGCCATCCCATATCTCAAAGCCCTTCCCAACCACGTGGCCATTTCTTTCACACGCACCTGCTGTGGACTGTGCTGTTCGCCTTCTGTGCGCCTTCTGTTCGTTCCCCTTCTGCTCGCTCAACTCTTTCCAACTTGCCCCCATGTACGTGCCATCATGCCATGTCACCACGCCACTCCATGCCCCATGCCCCATGTCCCAGCAGGGCCACGACTCGCCTGAGCTGCTGGCCCTCACTCGAGCGCTCTTCACCACCATCTGGACCGCTCCTGCCCCCCACCGCCCTCCTCCCTCTGCCCACTCCACCGCAACCACCCCGCACACCGCCTCCACAGCCGCCTCCTCCTCGCTCTCCTCCTCCTCGCTCTCCTCCTCCTCGCTCTCCTCCTCCTCGCTCTCCTCCTCCTCGCTCTCCTCCTCCGCCTCCTCCCCCTCCGCCTCTCACTCCTCCCCGTCTGACATCTCACCCCCACCCCCATCGCGCAGCGACATCACGGCGCCGGCCTTTCTGCGCCACGCGTGCTGCCGGGCCGGCATCCCTGCGTGGCAGCAGGATGAGCTCCTTGCTGCTGCCGCCACGCCCGCTGTCAAGCACACTCTGACCGTGAGTGCATGATGCACGTGCGCGGTGCACAGTGCTTGTCATTGCCACGCTGCCATCCTGGCCTCTCAGCTGGAGGCTCTGATTGCTGCTGCTGCCACGCCTGCTGAGAAGGAAGCTCCGGCAGTCAGTTGAGCAGTTTCTTAGACCATTGCTCCGCACTCCACACCACTCCACACCACTTACGGTCACTCACGTGCCAGCGTGGTCACTCAAGCAGCAATCCTAAACGTTGTTGGCATTTCTGGAACCACAGGCACCTCCTTCTCTCCCTCACGCCACCTCATGCTCCCCCCATGCCCATCCATGCTCCCCCCACGCCCCCATCACCCCTGCCAGGCGAGCACACAGGCGGCCATAGAGGGGGGCGCATTCGGAGTGCCGACGCTCTTCATCCACCCCACCACTCGCCCCGTGCGTCTGGCCACAGGCGCCACGCTCTCCCCCTCCCGCCCCCTCATGCTCTTTGGCTCCGACCGCTACGAGCAGCTGGCGTGGCTGCTGGGGCTGCCCTGGCACGGCCCCAACCCTCCAGTGGCAGCGCTCTGACGCACGCTCTTGTAGGTGGCCTGTAGGGCAGCATTCCAGGGCACATGGTCAAGAGCAGCGATGTGGAGCAGACATTTGAGGCAGCACTCTATAGAACCAAGTGTGATGCTTGTAGGCTTCTTAAGACCCACCGTCTCCCTTGCCGTCCCAGCACCTCACACTTTGAGCCTCGGACCGCGTGGGGCATACACAGAGTAAAGAACCCCCCAGCACAGGCCTTGGCTGCTGGGCTCTGGCAGCAGCACATCCCGTACTGCGTGTTGGCTGGGAGGCCGGCGTATTGTTGGGGATTAGGATCAACATCAGCACCGGCATTGGCATCCATTGCCGGCCTTTCTCCACTACAGCATTGCACCTGCTTTTTTACCGTATTTGCAAGCATGAGCTGAACAGCCTCCATACATACGGTACACCCAAGCTCAGAACCGATATCTTTTATCACAAGTGTCTCCTAATAAAAAACCCGTTGGGAAGGGAGCACGTTATCAGCACACTCGTGCAACTGCAACCTTGCAAGTCGATCCACGACATGCTCATTATGACGAAGCTCCATGTGCATGCATGCATGGCTGCACGCTGCATGTGACGCGAGACCTGAACGATGGCGGCATGCAGTCAGGGGGTGGGAGTCTGGAAGATGCAGGGAAGAGGGTGGGCGGGAGATGCAGTGAGAGGAGGGAGCAGATATACAGAGCGAACGAAGTCATGGGTAGAGAGAGGTAGAGCGTGCATGGGTAGGGAGGGGGAGCATGGTGAGAGGAGGGGGAGAGGAAGGCAACGTATAGCGAACAACCTCCGAGACAAGGCCGAGAACTTCACGCCTCTCCCCCACTCACCCCACGCCTCTACCCCACTCACCCCACGCCTCTCCCCCACTCACCCCACGCCTCTACCCCACTCACCCCACGCCTCTCCCCCACTCACCCCACGCCTCTCCCCCACTCACCCCACGCCTCTCCCCCACTCACCCCACGCCTCTCCCCCACTCACCCCACGCCTCTCCCCCACTCACCCCACGCCTCTCTCCCACTCACCCCACCTCCCTTTCTTCATAGCGCCCTGCCACGTGCCTCCTCCCGCGCCTCCCAATCCTCGCACTCTTCCCGTCACCCCGTACCTGCCAAACGCCCGCCCTCACACGAGGGGCTCTGCGCGCTTGAGCCCCTCGTCGCCCTCTCATGCACTCCCACCAAACCAACGCCTCTCCTCGCCACCTCCCCTCCCCCGCCTGCCATCTCCCCGCCTCACATGCATCTGCCCACGGGAATGCCTTGTGCCCACGGGAATGCCTTGTGCCCACGGGAATGCCTTGTGCCCACGGGAATGCCTTGTGCCCACGGGAATGCCTTGTGCCCACGGGAATGCCTTGTGCCCACGGGAATGCCTTGTGCCCACGGGAATGCCTTGTGCCCACGGGAATGCCTTGTGCCCACGGGAATGCCTTGTGCCCATTGGAATGCCTTGTGCCCACGGGAATGCCTTGTGCCCACGGGAATGCCTTGTGCCCACGGGAATGCCTTGTGCCCACGCGCTTCAATGGACAGCTACCTCCCCCCCATCCCCCTCCGCCATTCCCCCACCGTCCTTCCCCCCCCCCCTTTCTTTCGGCATAAGTGCACACGTCTCACTCAACCACTCGCCAGCCTCCCACCATTGCTGCTCCCATCCCACATGCGCCCTTCCATCGTCTACCCTCCTACCCCCTTCCCCTCCTCCCCTCCTCCCCTCCTCCACTCCTCCCCTCCTTCCCTCCTACCCTCCTCCCCTCCTTCCCTCCTCCACTCCTACCCTCCTACCCTCCTCCCCTCCTTCCCTCCTACCCTCCTCCCCTCCTTCCCTCCTACCCTCCTCCCCTCCTTCCCTCCTACCCTCCTCCCCTCCTTCCCTCCTACCCTCCTCCCCTCCTTCCCTCCTCCCCTCCTCCCCTCCTTCCCTCCTACCCTCCTCCCCTCCTTCCCTCTTACCCTCCTCCCCTCCTTCCCTCCTACCCTCCTCCCCTCCTTCCCTCCTACCCTCCTCCCCTCCTTCCCTCCTACCCTCCTCCCCTCCTTCCCTCCTACCCTCCTCCCCTCCTTCCCTCCTACCCTCCTCCCCTCCTCCCTTCCTCCCCTCCTACCCTCCTACCCTCCTCCCCTCCTTCCCTCCTACCCTCCTCCCCTCCTTCCCTCCTCCCCTCCTTCCCTCCTACCCTCCTCCCCTCCTTCCCTCCTACCCTCCTCCCCTCCTTCCCTCCTACCCTCCTCCCCTCCTCCCTTCCTCCCCTCCTCCCCTCCTTCCCTCCTCCCCTTCCTACCCTCCTTCCCTCCTACCCTCCTCCACTCCTCGCCCCCCCTCTCACCCGTCCAAGCACCCCCTTTTCCGCCTGCCTCTGCGCCCACCGTCCCTTGGTGCGCCCCTCGTGCTCCCCATCTCCCACGCGCACGTCTCCCCCGCGCCCTTGCCTCATCAGCCCCACGCTTGTCTCGAATGCCGCCATGCCGCCACGCACACCTCATGCTCCCAACCTCTGCTCCCCCCCTCACCTCTTTCTTCCCACCACCTCTCCCCTTCCACCTCTCCCCCGCAACCTTCTTTCGTCTCATGTGTCCGCCCACCCTCACCTTGCGCCATATGGTTGGATGCCGCCCATCAATTCATCCACGTCATCGCCTGCGGCTCTCCACGCCACGTGGATGCTTCGATCCGAGGCGCCCCGTACACGCGCGTCGGTTGGCGTTTACCTTCCCCCCATCCCCCTCCGCCATCCTCCCACGGATTCCCCCACGCCATTCTTGAAAACACCGCTAAAAGACAAGTGGATGCCGACCAGTATCAGGATGCAGACAACGCATGCCGCCCCCACGATGGCGAGCGCGAGCGCGGTGGGGTGCATGCGCGGCGCGCCGAGGATGGCGGCGAAAAGCGACCCGCGGGAGGCGGGCTTGCGCCCATGCGCGGAGATGTGCGCGGCCGCGGATGGAGGCGCTGGTTGCAGCGACGCGGAGGGGGACTGGTGTTGGCGCGGCCGGCGCTTTGCGGTGCTGATGGGTGCGGCGCGGTGCACGCGGATGTGAAGTGGTGAGGATGACATGGCGGCGGGGACGGAGTCTCGTGTGCTCGGCAACGGGAAACCCGCGCGCTGGCCACGTGGAACCCGTCCACGTGGAACCCGTCCACGTGGAACCCGTCCAGGCACCCACTGCAGTGCGCGGCTCGCTTGAGACGAGCGAGGAGTCGAGCGATGCGAGGAAGCGACGAGCGAGGCGCGCGGTTCACGGGGAGTCGACACCGCGTCTTGTGAGTGAGCGATACAAGTTAACCTAAGCGGTTGGCGAAGGTGCGTGCTCTGGTCGTGAAAGAATTGACGCGACGAGTCGGGTACGAGGAGTATGTAAGCCGAATCGCGGCGAGCGTGGAGTTGACTCGACCGTCACCTCGTGAAGCCTGGCGACGATGCGAGAAACGGCAGCGCAGCAGTCGGCGGGATCGGAATCGCGGATGGCAGAGCTGGTACTGGGATAGGCGAGGGAGGGAGAACGAGTGATAGGATACAGTAATATGATGAAGAGGAGAGAGGTGCTGATGGCGGAATTCTCAAGATGATGAACGCGAGGCGATGTTGGAGCTCTAGAACGTGGGCGTTGTTGACGTACCACACCTGATTCCATTGCAACATCAGCACCGACATAAGGTGGTTGCGTTGCGACGCTGTGTTGGGCCAAAATTCGTTGTTACCACTCTCGGCGAAATCATGGAGTCGCTGTGGAGGCACAGGCTGCGTCCTCAGCGAAGGTTGCAAGCCACTCTCTGGCTTGCCGAGGCGACGAATTTCTGCTCGTACAGCACTGCGTCTGTTTGCGAAGATGGTGTCAAATTCGATGAGCCTCGTCGTTCTTTGGTGCCACCCTTAGCTGCTAACAACGCTTCGCGCCGTCCCCCACGGTGGCCGCATCCCGTCGACATTCATTTAGAAGCGCGACTGCCATGTTACTATCGATTTTAGGCATGGACGACACGCGGCGATCGATCGTAAGAATGAACACGACGCGTCGATCCACATAAGCACGCCTGCCACGTGTCGGTCGCTGCGTGTCGTCAAGATCGACTTATCGTGTCCGACTGCTCACCGCCGCGCTTACCCGTCCTTCCGGGGAAGCACTTCTCCTGAAGCACTTCCCTTCGTCGTTCGCAATTCGCCATACTCGCTAATGGCGTCGCCCTCTAACGCGTACAAGCACGACAAGGCCCTGCAGGCGGCACACCAGCAGCAGCTCAAGGCGCTCCTCCGCGCGCCGGGCAACGAGTCCTGCGCCGACTGCGGCGGCCGCTTCCCGCGCTTCGCGTCGGTGTCGCTGGGCGTGTTTCTGTGCAACCGGTGCTACGGCATCCATCGAAGCATCGGCGTGCACGTGACGCGCACCAAGTGCGTCGAGCTCGACGCGTGGAGCCCCCGCGAGGTCGCCGCCATGCGCGCCATGGGCAACCGCCGCGCCGCCGCCATCTGGCACGGTGAGCGGTGGGAGTCTAAGAGGCGGGAGGGTGAGAGGTGGGAGGGTGAGAGGTGGGAGGGTGAGAGGTGGGAGGGAGTCAAGATTGAATTGTGATGGGGTTCACTCTGCTGTTGCTTCGTAGCATTCACTTCCGCCCCACTCCTCCGCCCTCCTCTCTCGTTCTCCTCTTCTCTCGCCTCCTGCGCCTTCCACCCCCCTGAAACGTTGCTTTCCCCTTGTGTTCTCCTTTCCCCCTCCCCCCCCCCCCCCTCTCCTCCTTTCCCCCTCTCTCCCGCCCCTCGCTTCTCCCCCTCGCTCTTCTTTCTCTTCAACCCTTCTCCGCATCTTCTGCCATTTCTCGCCCATATCCGCTTCTCTGTGGTCCCTCCCTCCACTTCCACCCCTTGTACCCCTCTCCCCTCCCCTTCTCTCCACTCTCACACCACACTTGCTAAATCCACCCCTCACCCTGCCAATCAGACCAGAGTGAGAGCCCCCACATGAGTGTCAATGAATGCCTTGTGGTGCGCCGCACAAGTCCGCTCGCTGCTGCTGCCACTCATCCCTCGCCGCACGCTCCCTGCCACCTGGAGCGACAGCGCACACATCACATGAGCGCCAGTGGATTCGTTGGGGGCTCCTCACCAGTGCTCTGGGTACTTCCCCTTTACCCCTCCCCCACCACACGCACTGTGCCAGCGGGACTGAGGGCGCCCACATGGGTGTCACAGCTGCCGTTGAGCCTCTTCCAATGCCCATGCGCTACTCCTACCCCTCCCCCCTCGACGCAGGCTCGCTGCCAGCGGGAGTGAGGGCGCCCACGTCAGCCTCATCGGACGCGGAGGTGGAGCGGTGGATTCGAGACAAGTACGAGCGCCGCCTCTTCCACAACCCCGCTGCTGCTGCTGCTGCTGCTGCCGCTGCCGCTGCTGCCACTTCTGCCACTGCTGCTCCCTCTCCCCCTGCTGCTGCACCTGCCACTGCCTCCCCTCCCTCCACCACCCCGTCCACTCCGTGGCCCGCCTTCCCACACGGCCCCGCCGCCTCAACCACACACTGCTCTCCTGCCTGTCCCCCCCAGCCGACCTCAACGCCGCCACCCACTGTCGTAGTGCCACCCCGTGCTGTGAGTGCGAGCAGCACAGGCGGCATGGCGCATGCACGGCAGGGCGTGGATGCGCTCAGCTCAGCACGCCTGATGCATCCACCCCCCGCCACCACAGCAGGCCGTGCAGCCCATCACGAGCAGCACACCCTAACAGCTGCTGGGGTCTCTGCAGGGCAGACGGGCCATGCTGCTGGTGTTGGCCCTGGAAGCAGCAGTATCGGCAATGTTCTTTCTGTATCAGGCGCCGGCAGCAGCAGCAGCATGGATCTTGGCCCAAGTAAGCAGGCAGCTGCTCCTCCAGATCTGATCGATTTCTCTCAGTGGTAATGTCAGGGCTGTTGGTCTACATGAACATGACAGATGTGTTGTAAGGTTCTTGTCAGAAAGCGTTGTTCTCACTACTACCACGACCAATGTTTGTTTTGTGACAACCGACCACCATAATGGCAGTGTCTTTGTGCTTCCCGATCAGGTCTTGTTACGAGCAGGATTGAAAGGACCTACCGTAAGATTGTGTAAGGGTAATCCACATCAATCATTTGACACACAAATACTTGTATATACCTGGGTGGAGCCCCTCCTATGGGTTTCATGTAAGACCTCGTTTTCTGGGCTCGCTTCTGAGTTGTTCACAAACGAGTACAATCTACACCCCGCCGAGCTGGTTTTATCAACACTCGAATCGGACGACCAGGCCGTGCCAGGCACGGCGGCGTGTGACGCGCCAACGGGGCACATCCGCAAGCGAGCCTGGCCGCGTCGTGGTGTGCGTGGTTCCGCCAATTCTCCCCGCACTGCGCAGGTCAAAACTGTCAAGGCGGTGGGGACGAACAGCAGCGAGACGGAACTGCGCGGGCGCGGGGCACCACACCAGTCCGAATGATCCCCCATGGCGTGTTGCCAGCGGGAGGACCTGGAATGGCTTCGTATTGTTGCCGAAATGCACCACCGTGTAATGAGCTGCAACGAGCGATACGCCTATCTGGAACTAGTGCCTCCCCCTCTTCGATCCACCACAGTTTCCCCAGTCGGACTTTGGGAACTCCGGTACATGTCAACTCACAGAGAAGAGGTATCTCCCGCGTCCATTCGCTGCGTTGCGTTTCAAAGCGGAAGCTACTCATACCACTGTTTACCGTGCGGGAAGTCGATTTACCGCACAGAGACAACAAACGATGGGGGGGGACAAAGCACGCGGAGTTGACACGATGGCTCCACAACACACCATGCTGTTCAGCTTTTTCAATACACGCCACTAGTGCAAAGCGAACACTATCGCACTAGTGCTCTGAAGAGCAAGACGTCTTTAGTTTAGGCATTTAAATATTTAGAAAGCAGCACCTCGGGAAAGATGTTAACGCAAACTTGGTGCGACTCGTTTCAATCGCTTCGTCGCTTCATAGGACTTCATTCGTAGAAGACTCGTCAGCAGAGGCGTGCATATAGTGTCTGTTCTTACCCCCTAGGTTATCTATTACTGTGGATAGTGTTCAGACTCACTTTCGGCGCGAGGACTCCACCCGCATTAAGGTAACAAGCGATCAATTTCACAGCTTTCCCTCTTTCTCCGTTTCTTGCGTCGCTCTCGCCCATCCCCGCCCATGTCACTCGCCGTCGCCCCGTTCGCCAGCTCCATTCGCCTGTCGTCACTTGCGTACTCGCTAATTCCCCGCCCGACCCTACTCTATCCCCACTCAGCGCCACAATCTCTCAACTCCACGTGGCTTTCGCTCAACCCCATCTTCACCCTTACTCCCCCTCATGCTTGCGCAATTCTCCCCCCCTTCGTCACCCCAGCCCTCCCCCTCCGCGTGCTCCCCCCGCCATGGGGAACTGCTGCTCCACGCCGCCGCCGTCGCCCAGAAAGCCCCCGCCGCAGCAGCAGCCACAGCAGCGCGCCCCGCCTCCGCCCGCCGCACGGCCAATCCCCAACGGTCACCCGCCTCCCGCGCCGCCGCACGCCCCGGCGCCGGCGCCGGCGCCACAGCCGGTGTCGCCGAGGCAACCAGGTGCGGCTGCCCCGCGCTCGCGCTTCTGCTCGTCGATCCCTCCCCATTCGCGCTATCCGGTCCCACCCCATCCGCCCTTCACATCCCCTGCCTTCCCCCACTCTCCCCCCTCCCCGCCCCCCCTTGCGATCTCGGTGCACCTTTCATCGCACCCACCTGACGTCGTTCGGCCTCCCCCTTGTGCCCATTCTTGCACCCTTGCGCTGAAGCACCACAGCCCTCAATCGTACCCTCACCACCCGTCCTCACTCTCCCCTCTCCTCCCTTCTTCACCCCTCCCGCCTCTCTCTTACCTTTTCCCTTCCCCTCTCCGCTGCAGTAGCCCCACCACCCCCAGCAGCAGCGGGCGGGTACCCACTCCGCAAGCGCCTTGCACCCGGGGTGGTATCCGGGGTGGTATCAGGGGTGGCATCGCAGTACTACGAGGAGGTGCAGGAGGCCTCGCACTCCTTCTCCACCCACTCGCACCACCTCTCACGCCACTCAAACTCCCCCTCCCGCTTCTTCTTCCCGCTCCGCTCCCCTCCCTTTTCCCCACTCGCCCAAACCCCGCCCGCCCATCCCTTCCCCCCTGCCCTGTCCCCAGCAGCGCCCCCGCCCCCCCCCCCCAGCCGCAACAGGCGGGTACCCTCTGCGAAAGTCCCTGGCGCCAGGCGTGGCATCGCAGTACAACTACCAGGAGGTGCAGGCCGCCACGCACCCCTTCTCCACCCACTCGCAACACCTCTCACGCGCCTCAAAACTCTCTCTTCTCTTTCCTTTCCCCCCTCCCCCATCCCCCATCCCGCGTCCCCCCTCCCCACTGGCCCTCCTCTCAGCAGCGTCCCCGCCCCCTCCAGCAGCAGCGGGCGGGTACCCGCTGCGCAAGTCCCTTGCCCCAGGAGTGGTATCGCAGTACAACTACCAGGAGGTGCAGGCCGCCACTCAGTCCTTCTCCACGGAGATTGGGCGGGGGGGCTTCGGCGTGGTGTTCCATGGGCGGCTGGCGGACCCCCAGGGCGGGCCGGCGCACGAGGTGGCGGTGAAGCTGATGGCGGAGGACCACATCACCAACGGCATCGACAGCTTCATTGTCAGTGCCGTGCCGTGCACGGGCTCTCGTGCGCATGCACATGTACATGCACGCATGCACGCACGCACTCACTCACACAAGGAGGGTGGGATGTGAAGTTGAGAGTATGGCGCTTTGCGCTGCTCTCCTTTATCCCTACCAGCTGCCTCCCTGCAGCCTGCAGTAACTGCCACCACCCCCATTCTCCCCACCCGCATCTTTCCCCTCCCGCTCCTCTTCCCTTGCGTGCACAGACGGAGGTGGGCGTGATGGCGCGGGTGCACCACCCCAACATACTGCGACTGGAGGGGTACGTGGTGGGCGCCACGCCCATCCTCATCTACGACTACGTCTCCATGGGGGACGTCTCCACCTACCTCGCTAAAGGTGCGCCTGTGCCGTGCCTCACCTCCTCGTCTTCCTAAAGGTGCGCCTGTGCCTCACCCTAAACCCTAAGCGTGTGGCGGTGGCGCTGGGGTGAAGCAACACCTGAGGCATCTCAAACCTCCCTCTGCCCTGCTCGTCCTGTGTCCTCCCTCCTTCCCCTCCCTTCCATCGCCCTCCCCCTCCCTCCCGTCCCCCCATCAGCGGCGAGGGGAGAGGTGGCGTTCACGTGGAAGCAGCGGGTGGCGGTGGCGCTGGGGTGAAGCAACACCTGAGGCATCTCAAACCTCCCTCTGCCCTGCTCGTCCTGTGTCCTCCCTCCTTCCCCTCCCTTCCATCGCCCTCCCCCTCCCTCCCATCCCCCCATCAGCGGCGAGGGGAGAGGTGGCGTTCACGTGGAAGCAGCGGGTGGCGGTGGCGCTGGGGTGTGCGGAGGCCTTGACGACCATCCATGCCAACAACTTCGTGCACCGCGACTTCAAGGCCACCAACGTGCTGCTCCGCCAGGTGGGGAATGCTACCATGCTGCACCGCACTGAACCGCACTGGGTTGCATAGGAAGGGGCAGTTGGGGCGGTGACGACCATCCACGGCCACCCACTTGGTGCACCGCGACTTCACGGCCACCCACTTGGTGCACCGCGACTTCACGGCCACCCACTTGGTGCACCGCGACTTCACGGCCACCCACTTGGTGCACCGCGACTTCACGGCCACCCACTTGGTGCGCGGGGGGGAGAGATGTGTGCGTGGTGCAACCAGGTGAGGGGTGGGAGGAAGGTGGGGGGTGGGAGGGAGGTGAAGGGGGGAGAGATGGAGGGGGGGAGGGAGGTGAAGTGAAGGGGGGAGGGTGGTGTGAGGGGGAGGGAGGTAGGACGGGGAGGGAGGTGGAAGGGGAAGGGAGGTGTGTTTCGCTGCTCCAAGAGGTGGATGGAGGGTAGAGGGGGGATAGGCGACAGGTGCGGTGCAGGTATCAACATGCTGTTGCGAGAAATGCCGGGAGGAGAGAGGCAAGGGTGAGGGGAGGGACGAGAGTTGAGGTGAGGATGGGAGAGCAGAGACAGGTGGATGGAGCTGGCCTCCTTCTCCCTCCCCGCTCCTCCCTCCCCGCTCTTCCCTCCCCGCTCTTCCCTCCCCGCTCCTCCCTCCCCCTTCCTCCCTCCCCCCTCCTCCCTCCCCCTTCCTCCCTCCGCACTCCGTCATCCCCACCCCTCTGGTCCATCCACGTCAGCATGTCTCCGCGGTGCAGGCAGAGAGCTCACCTCACGCCACTCGTCCCTCCCCCCCCAATTCCCCTGCTCCCCTCCTCGCGCCCCCCTCGCCCCACACAGGACCTGACCCCGGTGGTGGCGGACTTTGGGTTGGCGAGGGCGGTGGACGACTGGAAGACGCACGTGCAGACGAGGGTTATGGGGTCCGTGGGCTACATCGACCCCATCTACTTCGACTCCGGTCAGTGCCGTGCCGTGCTACACTCCCAAGGAGAAAGGGGGGCTCGGGGGGTGTCTGTCTCGTGCATGGGATGGGCGTCCTCTGATGGGCGCCGGGGGCTCTCCTTCCTCCGGCGCTATACTGTCATCCTCGGGCAATGGGCTGACTAAGGCGACGGTGGTTGGTGGGAGGGGAGGTATGGGGTACAGCAACCCCGTCTACTTAGAGTCCCTCCAGTGGGGCCCCATGCACGCTGTCATGCACCCTCCTGCGCACTTCATTCTACATTTCGTGCATCACATTTTCCCGGGCACTGGTTGACTGCAAGGCAAGGGTGGTGCGGTGTATCGGCCCCATCTATTTTGGTTCCAGCCAGTGATCCTGTGACCCCCTCCTCCCGCCCTAGCTTCACACGCTACATGTCTCGGGCAATGGGTTGATCAAAGGGCGACGGCCATGGGGTCGGTGGGTTACCTCAACCCCATTCACTTTATCGCTGGCCACTGCCCTCTCGCTCACTGCATTTGTTGTTCTCTCAGTCTTGTTTGCGCCGAGTCACTCGAAGTCCTACTCAAGGGCCGTGCGAGGGATTGAGGACCACCACAGTCCATCTACTTCCACTCTGGTCACTCACACCCTTTGCCTTGCCCTAAGCTCAAGCACCCTTCCATTCCCACTGGACCCACCCACATGCCATGCCCCACCCACATACCATGTCCCACCCGCATGCCATGTCCCACCCAAATGCCATACCATGCTGTTTAGTAAACTCCAAATTCACCTCAACATCCTGCTCCCCATCCAATTCCTCCTCCCCACACCTGCCTCCCCCTCTGCCCCTCTCCCCCCCCTCCAGGCATGTTGAGTCGCAAGTCAGACACGTACGCGCTTGGCATCCTGCTTCTGCTCACCTGCTGTCCCCTCTCCCCCCCCCCTCCAGGCATGCTAAGCCGCAAGTCGGACACGTACGCGTTCGGCATCTTCCTGCTGGAGCTGGTGTCGGGGTGCTCGGCCCTGGACGCGCGGTTCAAGGACCTGCGCAAGCTCGTCACCGCCAAGGACTTCCCCGACCCCACGCTCGTGGTGGACGCGCAGCTGCAGGGCCAGTGGCAGCTCAAGCAGGTGCTCGTCGCCTTCACGCTCATCAAGTTCGCCATCTTCTTTGACTGGGAGCACCGGCCCGGCATGGATGTGCTCCGTGACAAGCTAAAGAACCTCATTAATGACATGTGAGGGGAGCGGGAGGGGGGTTGAGGGGCTAGGAGTGTTGTGTTTTCATTGTATTGATGATAGTGGGTGGGTGCGCTGGTAGGTTAGAACGGGTGCTTGTTAGAAAGTGAATGTTGTGGTAGTTATTTATGCTGATGTAGAGGGAGTGCGTTACAAGCAAGTCCGTTCCTTAAGTGTTGTACATGATTACTAAAAAGGAATTGCCACACTGCATGCCCGGAAGAGTGCATGAAGTTGGTTTGGACACTTATGAAAAATAAAGGGAAGTGGACTGCCTGCCTGGGATAGCTACCAGGCCCTACGATATCAGGAATTTTCCCCTGAAATTCCTGATTTTCAGGGATTTTTTTGTACCTACACTGATTTTTCAGTGTTGAGATTTTTGTGACACTGATTTTTCAGCCTTTATTTCATAGTTAACGCTGATTTTTCAGTCTTTTATCGAAGTGTACATTGAATGCACATTCCGAATCCTTCTTGTAAAACACCCGAGAGATTCAGTCAACCAACATTTTCACATGGCCTATGTACGGTTGTAGTAATAAGACACCGAGGAGTGGGAGGATGAACTGTCTCAGTGGCCCCGACAGGTTAGGGCCCCGGTTCGAATCCCTCGGCTGTCATGTTTCGTCAAGCCTACACCTTAATACAGAGTTTCATTAGCTTAAATATTCAGGCTTTGCTTTTTAGGGACCCTGAAAATTCAGGCTTTTTTTTTTAGGAACACTGAAATGTCAGAAGTATAGGCAGGAATGAGTCAAATATGGAAGAGTTGGGTACAAATATCAAACCCTAGAAAGGGGTTGTACCCCATATTGGCTACCCCACTGGGCCTCAGATTCGTTTTGGGTGACCCTGAGCACTCAGGGTCCTTTGGGGCTGTAACACTGATCATCAGGGTTGTAAATGGAGAAACACTGATTTCTCAGGGTTAGAAAAAAAAAAACCATGACACATCAGCGTGAGTTTTAAAAAAACACTGGCGGTGAGAATCCACAACAACTACCGGTATCACAAGTATAATAAGTTAAGAAAAGTTCAAATATGGTTCTAATGAGCTTCTAATCTAACTACAGGCACAGACCACTTGGCGCTCGCACCGCACACACAATTCACATCACACACATGTCTTCATCTTCGTCACTACCACCACCATCGCTCATAGAACCGTGCCTGTGCACGGGGGTCTCTGTCCCCCACCCAGAGCCAGCACCACCAGCATCATCCTCGTCCACCTTCTCTTTCCCCTTAGCACTAGGTTGCTTCTTTGGTGCTGCCACTGTTGTGATGGGCTTGCGCTTCTTGTACGCCCTCCAGATCTTCACCACCTCCGCCCAGTCGGGCTCGTACGGCAGCAATGCCATGCACATGAGGTCCGACAGCCGCGCATCCCAGCCTGAGCTAGCATCTGCTTCTGGTAATTGATGGCCAACTGATGCTTGTTCGTCGCGGCATGCCGCTTGAAGGCTTGGGTCTGAAGATCGGTTGCACCGTGCCCAGCCCACTCTTGCCACACTTGCCACCGTCACCTGCAAAGTCGATGCACAATCTGCACTTGAACGCAGGCATGCCCAGGCCCCACGTTATCAGGGCAAAACATCCTGATTACCCTGAATTCAGGATGCAGTTTTGAATTTACCCTGTCATTTCAGAATAGTGTAAATTTTTACCCTGAGGTCTCAGGATGTTGTTATATGAAATGCCCTGAACATTCAGAATGGCTGTAGTGTTCTTCTCTGTAGCGTCAGGATGAATGCAGAGGCCTGCCCTGACGCGTTTTTTGTTGGGGGGGGGGGGGGAGTCCCGTACCTGGGGAAATTTTTCCCGGGGATTTTTAGGCAACACGTAGTTTCAATACTCATTCATCCATTCCACCATCCAGAAATGGCCTAGTCAGTAGAAAGGTACTTTTGATAGATGAGGTCCTGGGATCGAACCCACCCCTGGCAGGCGGACACATTCTCCAACTTTAATTCTATTAAAGCGACGGGCAACTTTTGGCAGTGTTGGGTTCAGAAGTTTTTTTTTTGAACCAGGCTTGCCAGCGCGAAAGTGCTGGCTGGCGAAAACCAGGATTTCGTGCGGACACTTTTCATCCGCAGTAACAGTTCGCCAGGGTTCTGGGTTTTGGGTGGCAAATGTGCACCGTCGCTTTAACCAACCAATCTGACCCCTGAACACAGAGTTTTTTGCCCTGACAGGTCAGGATTGATTTCTGAAAAAGCCCTGAACATACAGGAAGGCTTCGAAAATTTGCCCTGACAAATCAGGGCATTTTTTACGATTCTGAAAAGGTGCCCTCAGGCCTCAGGGTGCCCCAAATCCTAGCACGGGCCCTGGGCATGCCAGCAGTGTTTTTTATGAGGATGAGCCATGGGTAGTCGGTCGACCACGTCGACTTGAACGTTTCAAGGGCCTCTTCGTAAATCAGAGTGGTTAGTGACGGTTTTTTAGAGTTAGATGGCGTGGGCGTAACGTGGTTTACCGACTCGCCGGCATCAGCGAGAGGACGTCCAGGATCTGTAGGATCGGCCCAACGGAGCACGGCCTGCTTGTAACGAGGCGGAGGCTTCGACGACGACGCACGAGATGGCAAGCGGACGCTCGGTCCGGCTGCTGACGGCACGGCCGGCTTAGCAGTATGCGCGGGCTGGGGACGATCGTCTCCGCGGCAGAGGCCAGACGCTTCACCAGTGTTTGCTACTGAGGCGACGGGACCTGGCTTCTCTTTTTCATGGGAGAGCACGGAAACTAGAAAATCTAGTCCCGTTCTGGCCTCCAGCATCTCGGTGGCGGCGTAAAGTGCATCGTCGTCATCATCACCGCAGCTGTTCTCACCGGTGATCGCCATGGCGCGTTCACGTCACCTTCCTGAATCGGTGAGTAGTAACGAGAAACCCTGGGAGAGAGAGAGCCTGCCGAGCAGGCTTCAGGGAGACTGCAGAGATTGATGTTTCGGAAAGGGATGGAGTCTGGAGAGCTGGAATGGCAGAATCACGAGACCCCCTGCGTGGGGTGCCTGAGCGGGCCGCCCCAGCACGCCCTGCCTTGGTGGAAAGAACAAGGCAGACCACTGGCCCACTGGGCCACTAGACTTGGTTGTTTGTGCACATCAATGGAAAGTAATGACAAGTGTAGGTTATCCAACGTGACAACGGTACATTGCTTCAGCTGGGACAGCCAATCTCTTTACGCCGTTTTGCCAACACAGCCCGAAATTAACCCGTTCAACTGTATCTGGGCGCGCCGCAGGGTGGCGTCGGTGCAGGGTGGGTTCATGCATGATGACGGCGCGCAAAACTGCGGGAATCACGGAGTTTTCGGTTTCAAGGTCGTCTCCGATACAACACTGACTCGTCAGTGTCGACAAACTAGAAACACTGGAAAATCAGGATTAGGAAAAGAAAAACACTGATTCATCAGGGTTGTAAAAACAAAAAGGCCGATTCATCAGGGTTACAATAAAAAACCGGGGTCAAACATCAGGAAATCAGGGTAAAATTCATGGAATCTGAGGCCCTGCTACCCCACTACAGCCTAATCATGTACAGCATACATAATCTGACACACCCCCATAGGCAAAGTGGGGGAGAGCAAGGGGTCACAAGACCAGTCAAGAGAGGCAAAGCAAGCTCAAGGTGGATCTCAACGTCACCACACACTCTGAGCACAAGCAAAGGGCCATAAGGCCAGTTCACATGCAGAGATATATATGCAACAACAGCTGTACAGTGATCACTACCTAACAGAGCAAGCAAGTAGGTATAATTATAAAGATCACAGTACAAGCAGAGTCTACAGCAAGTGAGGAAACGTGGGCACAAGGCCAAGCAGGGTACAAAAGCGCTGATGATCACCAGGCGAAAGTGCCTTGGTGAATATATCAGCAGTGTTGGCCCGAGTGGCCACGTAACGCAGGCGAAGCTGACCACGCTGCTGCAACTCTCGAGCCAGGAAGTAACGCAGAGCGATGTGCTTCGTTATGTGCTCCAGTCTGTGCTCCTCACACAAGGCAATGGCAGCCTTGTTGTCGACGTACAGCACTGGAGGAGAACGAGGCCGCTCTCCCAAGTCGGTCAGCAGGTAGGTGAGCCAGCGTAACTCCTGTGCAGCCATGGCTGTGGCGTAGATCTCAGCCTCACAACTGGAGCTGAGAACTGAAGACGAGCGGGTAGAACGCCAAAAAACTGAACCAGAGCCAAGACTGAAGGTGTAACCCTGTGACGACCTCTGAGTAGCCTGGTCGTCAACCCAAGAAGCGTCTGAGTGCCCGGTGAGGACAACTGGGCTCTTCCCTCCAAGCACTAGCCCCATGCCTGATGTGCTGCAAAAGTAGCGCAGTACCCTCTTAGCGGCAGCCATGTGCTCAGGTCGGTGCCGACCAGGAGCCACGTAGCGAGCCAGCAGACCAAGAGGGTACGCGAGGTCAGGACGAGTGCAAGTCATCAGGTACATGAGGCAGCCAACTAGCTCTGGGTAAGGACCACTCGGCTCTACGGACCCGTCCGAAGGTGGAGCTGAGAGCGAGTGACCTGTAGCCAGAGGAGTGGCCTGTGCCGAGGACCAGGTGAAGCCGAAGCGCTGAAGGACCTGCTGCACCATGTGTGACTGAGTCAGTGTGATGGTGCGGCGTGCTCTGTCCCGGGTGATCCCCAAGCCAAGATAGCTTGTCAGCTCACCCAGGTCTGTGCACGTGTGTCTCTTCTGCAGCTCCGACTTCACGTGGGCGAGAGCCTCAGTGTCAGCAGTGGCAAAGACCAAGTCGTCGACGTACACGAGGATGTAGAACGGCGGCCGTGAAGTGTCGGTGCGCAGAAACAGCGACGGGTCAGCAGTAGAGGGCGCGAACCCAAGAGCCGCAAGTGTAGTCCTCAGTGTGTCGTGCCACTCACATGGCGCCTGGCGGAGACCGTAGACTGGCCGCCGGAGGCTCCACTGGGTACCAGGAGGAAACGACCCAGTGAAGCCAGGAGGGCGGCGCAGCCAGATCTCCTCGTGCAGAC